AGAGCTATCCCAGGCTGATATGCTAATGTCAGACTTTGGCATCAGTCATGTGTATGGAGTTCTTAGGCCTACCAGGGAACACTGCTAGAACCGGGCCCCCTCAGAGAGGCAAGGGGAGCAATGGCCTATAGAAGCCCCCGTGTGGTTGGAAGCATTCTATGTCTGCCATCGACCGGAACAGGCACCCAGAAAGGTAAGCGCCTCAAAACAAACCCCTATTCTGGTTAAAATTGCTACCAAAAGCCGAACTAGTGGATAGAACTCCCCAATCGAAAACAAGCAAACTAGTGTGACGTCACACACCGCCGCGCCGCTGTCTGTGCAGCTCCCCCCTCCCCGGGAGGGGGAAGGGGGGGCCCCAGACCCCCCATGCCGGCTACCCACACCTCAGTTCTTGAGGCTGATGCTATAGGCGATGGTCGTGTGCTCTGGCTCCGGTGTCACTACTGCACTGTGCTTTGCGTGTGGTGTTGGTTTTGTGGGTGCGAGAGCCAGGCGTTATCTTCAGTACTCAGGCTGCATGCGCCTAGGGCTGCCTTCCCTAGGTGCCCTGTAAGTACTGCCCTTGGGGCTTGGGGCCACCTTCCACAGGCTCTTCGGGGTCTGCCTCTGCTGGTCCGTTTTACCTTTCGGTTTTTCGGCCGCCTGTTGGGCTCTTGGGTGTTCTGTTCTCCCTTGTTGCCGGCAGGTAAGAGGCAGTTTGCACTGGTAGGGGCGCAGGGTGCTGCACAGCTTGTATTCCCGACATAGCGGCCGGCTCTGTTCCTTGGGGTTCGCTGTCCTCTTGCAGGGTTTTGTTTTTCTTTTTGTTTTTGCCTGGTGGGAGGTTCTGTCATTTTATTCAGTTTGTTTTTGCCCTTCCACTGTTCTCCTCGGTGGTGCCCCCTGCTAGGTCCCCGTGAGTGTACACATCCCTGGGGTTCAGCTATAGAAGTTTGCTTGGTAGTTTTGGGCGCCGGTTTGCAGCACCCTGCATGGGACTACCTGAGCGCGAGTCCTCTTAAAGTAAATGCTCAGGACCCTGGGAATCCCCTAGGGGGCGCGTGGATCCGATGGATGTGACCCCGGAGTCCCCACTCGCTGTGTGCGAGTTTGAGGGTTGCTCGGTCCCCTTGTCTCAGGGTGACCCTCATTGTTTTTGCCTCTGCCACACTGCCTGTTGGGTCAGTGATACTTTCGACCCTGAGTCCTGTGAGTGTTGCTGCTTGCTTGTGACTCAATTTACCCAATCCTCTGATTCTATTTGGGTACAGGCGGCGCGTGCGTTGCAGTCTAGGTTTCGTCTGTTGCAACGCGCTCGGTTGGTTGCTCACCCGGATGCCCCGGGGCTGTCGCCGCTTTGCTTTTTGAGACCTGGACTTGGGGGTGGGGGTCGCTTCGATCCTGGTTCAGTCCGCACCTCCTCGTCCTTACCCTTCTGTTCGTTATGGTAACCCCCCCCCCCCCCCGTGCTTCCGGTCCCGAAGCGTCTGATGGTTTCGGGGTCGGAGCAGGGGGTTACTTGATCTCGAGACTCGGGCAGCTTCGGGGGGTGCCCTTTCCGAGGGGGGGGGGGCAGAGGCATTCGAGTCTTGTCTCCCAGCCGAAGCTTCTGGGTCTGACCAGTGGGCCCCCCTTCCTCCAGCTTTTCTGGCTGCCCCGTCCTTGTCTTGTGGGGTCGGGCTTGGGGAGAGGACTTGGCCTCGGGTCCTGTGGTGAAGGACCTCGAGGCTGGGGAGGGGCTGACTTGGGGGCCTTGGGCCCCGCTGGACCCCGCCTGGGTTTTTCTTCCCTCTGAGCGGGCTTATTGTTACAAGGAGTGGGGTTTTCTTTTCCCCCCTCTGCGTACGAGTTGGATTTGGTGTCAGCCCCTCCCCGGGTACGTCGGTTCCGTCCTTCCGGAGGTTTTCGGCTTATCGCATCCAACCTGGTGTGGTGTGAGCGGCCTTTGCAGCTTACCTCCTGCGTGACCCGGATTATGCCTCGGAAATGGATCCGTCCGAATTCAGGTTTGGGACTTCGTTCCCTTTCTGGCTCCGTTACGAGGTTCCGGAGTGAACGGCAATGAACGAAGTTCCGAGGTTCCGGCAATGAACCCCCGCGGTTCATTGCCTGAACCGCGGGGGTTCGATGTGGTCCTTGTCTCTTTGGGGTTGGTCGCTTCGGGTGACTTGTCTGCTGAGTTCTCGGGGTTTGGCTCTCCTGGCGGTTCACGTACGGGGCGTGTGCAACGTCTTGGCCGACGCCCTGTCTCGCTTCGTTCCCCTCTCCACGGAGTGGACGGTCAACGACGAGTCCTTCCGTTGGCTTTGCTAGACGTTCAGGTGCCCTGAGGTGGACCTCTTCGCGTCGGCGTGGTTGCGGCGTCTTCCCGTTTATGCGGCGCCCTTCCCCGATCGCGAGGCCATCGGGGTCGATGCCTTTTGGCTAGACTGGTCGAGGTGGGGGTTCCTTTACCTCTTTCCCCCAGTTCGGCTGTTGTTCCAGGTCCTGACTCGCTTACAGACTTACCAGAGGAGAGTTGTCCTTCTGGCCCCTTGGTGGCCGGCCCAGCCTTGGTTTCAGGCGCCGGTTGCTCGGTGTCCGAACCCGAGGGTTTTCTCGCGGCTCCGCCTATTTCAGCAGATCGGGCCGGTACGTCACGTGGCTGGTTCGATCTTCTCCTCGAGTCTTCACGTGTGTTTTTTTTGACTCGAGTCTATCATCATCTCTATGGTGATCAGGTGGCCTCCTTGTTGGTGTCCCACCAGAGGGCTTCTTCTCGGCGGCAGTATGAAGTTTCCTGGCGGTCCTTCTGTTTCTTTTTGCGTCTTCATCGTGTTAGTTCCTTGTCTGTTCGGGTGGTCTTGTCCTTCCTCTCGTGGTTGTTTCAGGACCGTCATCTTATGCCTAACACTGTCGCCTCGTATCGTGCGGCGCTGGCGGAGCCGCTTCAGCTTGCTTTCGGTATCGATGTTACGTCTGCGCCGTTTTGCAAGCTGTCTCGTGCATTGTTTCACCTCCGGCCTGCTCATGCGTCGCCTGAGCCGTCCTGGTGTTTGGACAGAGTGCTCTCTTTCCTTTCATCTCCTCGTTTTGTTGTAGCCCCTTCGGTCCAGGATTCTTTTTCCAAGGCACTTTTCTTGTTGGCTTTGGCCTCTGGGGGTCGGGTAGGGGAGCTTCATGCTCTCCTCCGGCGCAGGGGTTTCTGCTCTTTTGGTCGTGGTGATTGTTTTGTTCGTTTGCAGCCGTCTCCTTCTTTTCTGGCGAAGAATGAGACTGCTGCGTTCCGGAGGGGTCCATGGGTGGTTGATTATTGGTTGGTCAGGCTGGGGGTGCATCATGTTTTGTGTCCGGTTGCGGCGCTTCGCCATTATTTGCGCGCCATGGCTTCTGTGTCCGGGGTATGCGCTGTGGGTTGATCCGGTTTCCCTTCTTCCCTGTTCACGGGTTTGTGTCTCCCAGGTCGTCCGCAGGGTTATTAAGTCCAGCCAGCCTGCGGTCTATCCCTGTGCCCATGACGTTCATAAGTTCGCGGATCTTGCTGCCGTCTTTGGGAATATGTCTTGGTCTGATATTCGGGCGCGGGGATTTTGGCGGTCGAACAGGGTCCTGGCTGCTCGTTACCTTGTGAATGTCCCTGGACCCCGTCGAGCCTGTGTTGCTTTGGGTCGGCGGTTGCAGCCAGTTGTCTCGGCTTCGAGTTGAGGAGTGAGCGACGACCGCCTCCCGGGTAAGTCCCTATTTTCTGTATGTGGGTAGTTAGCTCTTGGGAGCCGACGGGGCTTCCCCCAGAAAACCAGCGTTGAATGTAATGAAACACCATTTTCTGGGTGAGTCCCGGAGGCTCCCCGGCATCCCTCCCTCCCTCCGGTCGGCGGTTTTTCGCGTTTTTGACATCCTGCCTCAAGAGTTGAGGTGTGGGTAGCCGGCGTGGAGGGTCTGGGGCTCCCCCTTCCCCCTCCCGGGGAGGGGGGAGCTGCGCAGACAGCGGCGCGGCGGTGTGTGTCGTCACACTAGTTTGCTTGTTTTCGGTTGGGGAGTTCTATCCACCAGTTCGGCTTTTGGTAGCAATTTTAACCAGAATAGGGGTTTGTTTTGAGGCGCTTACCTTTCTGGGTGCCTGTTCCGGTCGATGGCAGGCATAGAATGCTTCCAACCACACAGGGGCTTCTATAGGCCATTGCTCCCCTTGCCTCTCTGAGGGGGCCCGGTTCTGGCCGTGGTCCCCGGTAGGCCTAAGAACTCCATACACATGACTGATGCCAGAGTCTGACATTAGCATATCAGCCTGGGATAGCTCCAGGGAGCCTCCGGGACTCACTCAGAAAATGGCGTTTCATTACATTCAACGCTGTTTTTTTTCAAACATGCACTATTCTTCAAACATACATGGGTAATTCCACCAGTGGTCGTTTCAAACCTGGAATATAATGGGGGCGTACTTCACTGGCGGCACTTTTCAACATAAACACATATCTGTTCGACTCACCAGTATGCATATCATTTAAGGTCCAAATAGGTCTGCTGTATCTAATAGGCCAAGTTGCCTAACAAGCCATGTTTTCATGAAATATTGTATTAAAAAAAATTAGGTAATGATAAAGCTTTCCATTACATTATATACGATTTTAATTGTTTTTAATTTGTCAAAACAAACATCAAAATTTGATCAAACCTAATCTACCTAACTTTACATATCCTAACATAACTAAATCAGTAATCCATGTTCCTAATAGTGTACGATATATTAATACTATAAGGAAGCAACTCATTTAAAAGGAAATATTTGAAAATGAAAATTGATCTGCCTGTTAGGCAAATTGGGCCTTGTTTACTAGGCCAAATACTGTGGTTCTGGCTTTTAGGTACGAGAGGTTCATTACTTACATTGAGGGTTCAACTTTGTATGGAGTTGCAGCTTTGCAGATGTCAGCACAAAGAGATTCATTACTTATTTCAATGTAGAATGCATTTAAGATCAGTTGTAATGAAAATATCAAGCTGGTAAATTTTGAAAACTAAAGCATTACTGTTTTCAGGCGGCTGGTGAAGCATATAGTCTGATGGGTAAAGTAAGCGAAGAAAAGCGTATTTGGCGCCTGCTGTGCCGGTTTCACTGGACACCAGCCCAAATACAACACATTATTCAGATGCATAAAGAACTCCAAGTTCAGAAGAATTGGCGACGGGTATATGATAGACTAAGAAGGTACGTGACACTTGACAATGAGTATGTAACTAAGAGAGTGACCCTTGGCAGCAGGCATATCAGAGCTAGATGGAGAGCCACAATTTGCAACACTTGGTCAACTTTGTAATTACTTAAGTGAGTAATTAATACAGGATGAGAGCTATGCTCGTGGTGTTCTGTCTTTCCAGCACTCTGTGTCATATAACGCTTTGAATAGGCATTATTTGACAACCTTAGCATATAACGCTTAGGTTAGTGGCTTTCATCATTCTAGAACTGAAGTGGTGGGTTGCTGGGTCCTCTGGGCTGGCTGCCCCCCCCCCCCCATCCTTCTTGGGAGGGTGGAGTAGTGCTAATGAGCAGGGGCTTGCTGGATGACACGTTGCTTTTTTGTTTTCTTTCTGGGGGAGTTCTTTTGCTTTTTTGAGGACGTAGCTCACAATTTTCAACCAGATAGTGGTCTGCATTGATTCGCCTACCTTTCTGGGTGCCTTCCCTGGTAGATGGCAAAATATAACATAATTTAAATGTAAAGTGCTCATAGACCATTACTCTCTGCACCTCTCTGATGGGGCCAGGTTCTGGCTCTGGTTTCCAGTAGGCAACAAGAATTTTGCGACTGATGACCCCAACAAATATAGCACTACTTATTTTAGTAGGATAGCTTCAGGGAGCCTCCGGGGCTCACCCAGAAACTTTCATTACATTTCATTACATTCAACGCTGGTTTTTCTTGGGTGAAGCCCCGTTGGTTTCCTGGAGCTATCCAGACTGATATGGATATGTATAACTTTCTGGCATCAATGTGCATGGAGTTCTTCATGGGGAACCAGAACCTGGCCCTCTCAGAGAGGCACGAGGAGCAGTGGCCGCTCTTGAGTGGCGAGAAACATCTGCCGTTCTGCAGGTTTACCTTGAGGGGTGAGTTTGAGCACCTTAATGTGTGCTTGTTCACCCTTGTGCTTTCTCGGAATGTTGGCCTTGTGCACCTGCACGTGCTGGTTCCTTCCCTTTCAGTGTCCTTGTTTGCAGGGGATTTGCGTGCCTGTGGGCATTTAGCTTTGATCTTGCGCTTCTTTTCCCTTCTCGAGCTGTCTTCTGTCTGGCTTGAGGAGGATGTGGAGGTGTTGAATGCCAGGCCTTCGTTTGGGGTGCTGTCCTCGGTGGATCAGGCATCGGCCACACTGTTGAAGCGCTTTGCGCTTATCCTGAAGGAGGCAGTGTCTTTGCTTCTCACCTTGCATGCCATCAGTCTGTGCTCGCCCTATCCTTGGAATCTGCTTAGGCCGTGGCTCTTAGGTTTTCATCTCCATTTTGTCCGTTGCTGTTTGCAGAGGCTGCTGTCATGCAGTTTCTTCAGGCGGCTTCGTCTAGTTGTTGTCCTATGTCGGACTTGTTGGTTGTCTGGGGCGGCCATTCTCGGCCTTCTCGGAAAGGTTGTTCCAGGGCTCGGGGTTTCGCTAGTTGAGGTGGGCCATTGGTGTCAGCTTCTGAGCTGACGTTGCCTTCGGAGCCGATGTCATCTTGCCGGTGCAGTAATCGCTGTTCGACGGTTGGCTTCTCATAAAGGGCGTTTGCTCTTTAGCGGTTTGCCCCCGTTGATGGGCGATGGGGGGAGGGGGAGGAGGTTTGCTCTGTTTGCTCGAGCTTGGTCCCACGATTTGTGGGTGTTTTCGGTCGTGTCATCCGGCTTGTATGGGCGTTAGGAAGCTCCTCCTCCTTCAGGGGGTTCGAAGCTGGTGGGGCAGGCTTCTTCTTCTTCCCCTGCGCTTCGTCAGGTCATCTTGGAGTGGGTGGTCGTGGGCGTGGTCGAAACGACCCCATCCCTCAGGTGGGTTTCCCATCTGTTTCCAGTGCTGAAACACGATTCTGCGGATATTAGGTTCATTCTGGACTTGTCCTGTCTGAACCCCTGGATTCCTTGCCCCCTCCTTTCGGATGACTACTCTGTCTCAGATCCGACTTCTGTTGGAGCCTGGTGCCTGGATGGTGTCCTTGGACCTCCAGGATGCATATTGGCACGTTCCTATTCATATGGGGTTCAGGGATTGGTTTGTTACATTGGTTAGGTTTCGTGGTGGGGGTTGCCAGGCTTACCGCTTTCGTTGCCTTCTTTTTGGCTTGAATCTGGCACCTTGTGTATTCACGCCTCTTACCTAGGTCGTGGTGATCTGTCTGCGCCTGCTAGGGGTTCGGGTCCTGGCCTACCTCAAAGACTGGCTAGTGTGGACTCCCAGTCGGTCCGCTTGTCTGCTCCCCAGGGATGTGGTTCTTTCCCAGCTCACTGGGTTTGGGTTCCTAGGGAACTGGAGGAAGTCCCATCTGGTTCCGTCCCAGGTTCGAACCTGGCTGGGTCTTGTTTGGGACTCTTGGACCACTTCCATATCTCTCCCTCCGGAGGCATTGCTGTGACTGCAGTCCCACTTTTGGTTGTTTCTGGGAGGGTCCCTGATCACTCAGCGGTTGCTTGAGTAGTTGTGCGTAAGTCTGAACTTCACCGTGCTGGTTTATCTACTGGGTTGGGTTTAGCTTCGCCCAAGTCTTTTGGCTTCGCCCTTCGCTTTGTGTCTTCTTCGAGGACGCCCCCTTCCACTTCTCTCGCGATCGCTGGGTTCATCTTCTGGGGGCCTTGCTTTGGTTGCTGTGTCGCTGGCATCCTCTTTGCGGTTTTTGGGGTTCATTGCCTTGGTGCCTATCCGAACCTTAACTCGATGTGTTCACAGACACGCAGTCTCTCGGCTGGGGCTTTGTGACCAGTGCTCACCAGGCCGGCCAGGGGTGTTGGGGTCCGTCCTTCTGTCAAGCTCACTGCACGGTGTGGGAGTTCATGGCGGTTTGACTTTCGCTTCGGAGTGTTCGGGGTCGCTCGAGATTCGACCCTCCGGCTCCATTCGGATTGTTCTCCGGTGGTTCATTACCTGAACCGTGGGGGTTCTCTTTGGTCCTTGCCTCTTTGGGACTGGTCGCTTTGAGTAGCTCATCTGCTGGGTTTGGCTTGAGTGGCCGGCACTGTCTTGGTTCCAGGTGCTGCTTTCTCGATGTGTGAACCTAGTGCATTTCCCACAGCTCCGCCTCTTCCAGCAGGTAAGACCAGGCCGGGTACACAGCTGGTTTGGTCTTCTCTGCTTTTTGCGTCTGGTCTTTTTGACGTGTGTTTATCACCATTTGTTTGGTGATCAGGTGGCTTTGTTGAAGGTGTCCCACCGGAGAGCTTCGTTTCGGTGATAGTTTGACATTTCCTGGCATTCTTTCTGCCTTTTTCTCTCTCTTCGAAGATTGTCTTCTGTTTCGGATTGGGTTGTCTTGTCCTTTCTGTCTTGGCTCCTTCAGGGCCATCTTTTTATGCCAACTACTGTTGCCTCATATCATGTGGCGCTGGTGGAGCCACTGTAGCCAGTGGCTACAGTGGCTCTGTAGCCACTGTAGCTGGGGTTGTTCGGGGTTGATGTCACTTCTGCCTCGTTCCGTAAGCTATCTCATGCTTTGTTTCACCTTCGGCCTGTTCATGTGCTGCCTGAGCCATCCTGGTCCTTGGACAGGGTGCTCTCCTGTCTCTCTTCTCCTCAGTTCCTGGTGGCCTCTTCAGTTCAAGATTGTTTTTCCAAGGCTCTATTTCTGTTGGCATTGGCTTCTCGGAGGTCAGTGAGCTTCATGCTCTGCTCCAGTACAGGGGGTTTCTGCTCCTTCGGTCCTGGTAATCGGTTTGTTCGGTTACAGCTTTGTCTTTCTTTTCTGGCGAAGAACAAGGCGGCTGCTTTCTGGAGTTGTGTTGTGTCCGGTTGCGGCTCTTCACCGTTGTCTGTGTGCCTCGGCTTCAGTGGCTGAAGATGTGCTTTGGGTTGATCTGCTTCCATCGTTCACTGTTCTGAGGCTCGGGGTCTCCCAGGTCGTCTGCAGGGTTATTAAGTCTAGCCAGCCTGCTGTCTGTCCTCGGCTTCGGCCACCCTGAGCCCATGATGTTCAGAAGTTTGCTGTTTTGGCTGCCGTCTTCGGCTCCATGTCTTGGGCTGCTCTTCAGGTGTGGGGATTTTGGAGGTTGAACAGGGTCCTGGCCCCCTCGATCATTGGTCAACATTCCTGGGCCTGGGCATCTGTGTGTGGCTTTGGGTCACAGGTTGCAGCCAGATGTCTCGCCTTCGAGTTGAGGGGCATGTGGCGGCCACCTCCTGGGTATGTCCCTCTTTTCCTTGTCTTTGGTTATGTAGCTCCAGGGAGCTGAAGGGGCTCCCAGCAAAAAGCCAGAGTTGAATGTAATGAAACGGCATTTTCTGGGTGAGCCTTGGAAGTTCCCAGGCACCCTCCCACCCTTCGACCTGTGGTTTTCTCGTTGTTTTGATGCTTAGCCTCCAAACTGGAGTTGCTGGGTAGACGGCACGGGGGAGGGGGGGTCCGGGGTTCCCCTTTTCCCCTCCCGGGGGAGAGATGGAGACGTATGGACGCTTGCGATGCGACGGCGTGGTGTGATGTTTGCTTGTTTCCCCTGGGAATTGAGGGAGTTCTACCTCTCTGTTCTGCTTTCGTTTGCATTTTTCTTACCTTGTGGGGTCTGTTTTGTTATGTCTACCTTTCTGGGTGCCTAACCCTGGTCGATGGCAGATAAGGATAACCCCTAACCACGGGGGGATTTTTCCAGGGACATTGCTCCCTGCACCTCTCTGAGGGGGGCCCAGGTTCTGGCTTGTGGTCCCTGGTAGGCTGAACTCCATAGACTAAAGTCCTGGTCTAATGTATCACATATTAGCCCAATAGCTCCAGGAAGCCTCCGGGGCTCACCCAGAAAATGGCGTTTCATTACATTCAACGCTGGTTTTCTGGGGGCTCCCCGGAGCTATCCCAGGCTGATATGCTAATGTCAGACTTTGGCATCAGTCATGTGTATGGAGTTCTTAGGCCTACCGGGGACCACGGCCAGAACCGGGCCTCCTCAGAGAGGCAAGGGGAGCAATGGCCTATAGAAGCCCCCGTGTGGTTGGAAGCATTCTATGTCTGCCATCGACTGGAACAGGCACCCAGAAAGG